AGAGTGAGAGAGGAGGAGTAATGGTGAGAAAAAGGCAATGTGACAATCAAAGCAGAGAGGGATTGGAAGAGTCTATTCTTCTGAGTCTGAAGATGGGTCTATGAGCCAAAGGAATGCAGGCAGTTTCTAGAAGCTAGAAAGGCAAGGAGTCAAATTTTCCCTTACATCCTCTAGAGAAAATGCAGGCCTGCTGACAAGTTGATTTCAGACCACTGAAACTGATTTCAGACTCCAGAACTGTAAGATAATCAATTTGTGTTCTTTTCAGCTATTAAATATGTGGAAATTTATTATAGCAGCAATTAAAAAATTAATAAAAAACAATTATTTCAGGTAAGGTCTTCCTAAGAAGAAAGAGCAAAAAACAAAATTTTTTTATTTCTTTAAAATGTAATTTATGCTGAATCCAAGGGGCACCAGAAAAAAAGGAACTTACATGTTTATTTAAAGCATTGTTTTTAACACTAAAAGTCAAGTAACAACTGAAACTCCAAAAAGAAATTTTAAAATTATACACAACTATTCAAAGTTGTCATAGAGCCGGGCATGGTGGCTCACGCCTATAATCCTGGGACTTTCCGAGGTCAAGTGGGGGGTGGGTCACTTGAGGTCAGGAGTTCGAGATCAGCCTGGCAAACATGGTGAAACCCCATCTCTACTAAAAATACAAAATTAGCTGGGTGTGGTGGTGGGTACCTGTAATCCCAGCTACTTGGGAGGCTGAGGCAGGAGAATCACTTGAATCTGGGAGGCAGAAATTACAGCGAGCCGAGATTGTGCCACTGCGCTCCAGCCTGGGCAAAAAGAGCGAGACTCTATCTCAAAAAAAAAAAAAAAAAAAAAAATTAGCTGGGCATGGTCATGCATGGCTGTAGTCCCAGCTACACAGGAGCCTGTGGGATGAGAACTGCATGAACCTGGGAGGCAGAGGTTACAGTGAGCTGAGACTGCACCACTGCACTCCAGCTGGGCAAGACAGCTAGACTCTGTCTTGAAATAAATAAAGTACAGTGTTATGATACTTTATAAAAGGAGATTCTAGAGGCCAGGCACAATGGTTCAGCACTCTGGGAGGTTGAGGCAGGAGTATTACTTGAGCCCAAGAGTTTGGGAGCAGTCCAGACAATATAGTGAGATCCTGTCTCTACAAAATAAAAATAAATTAGCTAGGCGTGGTGTGCATGCCTGTACTTCCAGCTACGAAGGAGGCTGAAGTGGAAAGATCATCACTTGAGCCTGGGAGGTCAAGGCTGTAGTGAGCAGTGATTGTTCCACTGTACTGTAGTCTGGGTAACAGAGTAAGACCCTGTCTCAAAAAAAAAGAGATCCTACCTTATCTTACCTATCTTATCTGATACTTGGTAACACTGATATTTATCACTTACTTAATGCTTCATACTCTTGATTTTATGATTTGAGCAGGCAGAATATAAAATAATGGGCATTTGTTAAAATGATGGCATCAATTATAATAAAATTATATGCTTTGAGGCCCATAAAAGATAGTCACAACCAGTCATTCTATGTTAGAGAAGTAATTTGAAGTTAGTCTTGGTTCCTATCTTCTGTACTGGCATAATTGTTAGCAGTGCCTGCTTTCACTCCCAAGTCCTGGTAAATGATGGCTATTCTATATAATCCATTTCAGAAAAGAATAATTACACTGAAGTAATTTTATAAATTTACTGTTTAGTCTGTGATAGGAAATATCAACTATCACTAACACTTGGAAAATACAGGTGTGGCAGTATTTATTTATTTATTTATTTTTGAGACGGAGTTTTGCTCTTGTTACCCAGGTGCAATGGCGTGATCTCGCCTCACCGCAACCTCTGCCTCCTGGGTTCAGGCAATTCTGCTGCCTCAGCCTCCACGTAGCTGGGGCTACAGGCGTGCGCCACCATGCCCAGCTAATTTTTTGTATTTTTAGTAGAGACGGGGTTTCGCCATGTTGACCAGGATGATCTCGATCTCTTGACGTTGTGATCCTCCTGCCTCAGCCTCCCAAAGTGCTGGGATTACAGGCTTGAGCCACCGCGCCCGGCCTCGCAGTATTTAATATTCAATTATTTAAATAATTTTGCAACCACAAAAAAGAACGAGATCATGTATTTTGCGGGAACATGGATGGCACTAGAGGCTGTTATTCTTAGCAAACTAACGCAAGAATAGAAAACCAAATACTGCATGTTCTCACTCATAAGTGGTAGCTAAATGATGAGAATTTATGAACACAAATTAAAAAACAGGCAAGGCATGGTGGATCATGTCTGTAATCCCAGCACTTTGGGAGGCCAAGGCAGGCAGATCACAAGGTCAGGAGTTAAAGACCGGCCAGGTCAACATGGTAAAACCCCTCTACTAAAAATAGAAAAAACTACCTGGGCATGATGGCGAATACCTGTAAGCCCAGCTACTCGGGAGGCTGAGGCAAGAGAATCACTTGAACCCGGGAGGCAGAGGTTGCAGTGAGCCAAGATCCCGCCATTGTACTCCAACTTGGGCAACAGAGCAAGGCTCCATTAAAAAGAAAAACGAACCAACAGACACACACTGGGTCTACTTGAGGGTGTAAGGTGGGAGGAAGGAGAGAAGCAGAAAAGGTAACTACTGGGTACTGAGTTTAATTTCTGGGCGATGAAACAGTCTGTATAACAAACCCCTGTAATATGAGTTTATCTATATAACAAACCTTCACATGTACCTCTGAACCTAAAAGTTTAAAAATAAATATATAAATATGGCTGGGTGTTCAGGTTCACACCTGTAATCCCAGCACTTTGGGAGGCTGAGGTGGGTGGGTTCCTTGAGCCCCAGGAGTTTGAGACCACCCTAGCCAACATAGAGAAACCTCTCTCTGCTAAAGATACAAAATATTAGCTGGGCATGGTGGTGCATACCTGTAATCTCAGCTACTCAAGAGGCTGAGGCACAAGAATCGCTTGAACCCTGGAGGTAGAGATTGTGGTGAGCTGTGACTGTGCCGCTGCGCCCTGGGTGACAGAGCAAGACTGTCTCAAAAGAAAAAATAAATTTTTTTCCCCTACAGGGAAGCAAAGTAAATTTTGTGACTTGAAAAGGTGCCAAAAACTATACATATATATATATAGCTTTTTTTTTTTTTTTTTTTGGGAGTCTGACTCTGTTGCCCAGGCTGACGTGCAGTGGCACGATCTCAGCTCACTGCAACCTCCACCTCCCAGGTTCAAGCGATTCTCTTGCTTCAGCCTCCGGAGTAGCTGGGACTACAGGTACATGCCACCATGCTCGGCCTGTTTTTATATTTTTAGTAGTGACAGGGTTTCACTGTGTTAGCCAGGAGGGGGTGCCAAAATATTTTTAGGTGATTTTGAAACCATCACAAATAAAAATCTTTACTTAAGAGTATTCAAAGAAAAATGTCAATATAACAACTATAATTCTAGATTGGATCATACCAATCTTCTGTTTCAAAATACAGAAGTAAGGCCAGGTGTGGGGCTTACATCTATAATCCCAGCACTTTGGGAGGCCAAGGCAAGAGAATCGCTTAAGCCCAAGAGGTTGAGACCAGCCTGGGCAACATAGCTCATGAGACCTTGTCTCTACAAAAAAAATTTAAAAATTAGCCAGGCATGGTGGTGCCTACTTATAGTCCCAGCTACTCAGGAGGCTGAAGTGGGAGGACTGCTTGAGCCCAGAAGGTCAAGGCTACAGTGATCTGCTGTGATCATGCCACCACACTCCAGCCTGGGTGACAGAGTGAGACCTTGTCTCAAAACAAAAAAACAAAAATGTAGAAATAAATGATTGTGAGCCTATCAACCTGATTATTCTGGAAGATATATGTTCCAAACAATCTCTAGATAACAGCTCCAAGTCCTCCCTTTAATATCATAAAATGTCATAAAAAAGCTAAACAAATGGCTTAGATTTTAGGATTGAGGTCACTAAAATCAGTTTGGACACCCTAAAATTTGTATCTTACCCATAAAACTGAAAATAATAATACGCTGACTCATGGTGCAGGCTTCTCTTTTATAATTATAAAAGCAGATCAGGCGGGGCGTGGTGGCTCACGCCTGTAATCCCAGCACTTTGGGAGGCCGAGTTGGGTGGATCACAGGGTCAAGAGATCGAGACCATCCTGGTCAACATGGTGAAACCCCGTCTCTACTAAAAATACAAAAAATTAGCTGGGCATTGTGGCGCGTTCCTGTAATCCCAGCTACTCAGGAGGCTGAGGCAGGAGAATTGCCTGAACCCAGGAGGCGGAGGTTGTGGTGAGCCGAGATCGCGCCATTGCACTCCAGCCTGGGTAACAAGAGCAAAACTCCGTCTCAAAAAAAAAAAAATAATAATAATAATAAATAAAAGCAGATCATTTTAAGGAATTATCAAACTTATATTTAAAAAGAACAGTTGGTCACGGTGGCTCACACCTGTAATCCCAACACTTTGGGAGGCTGAGGTGGGCAGATCACCTGAGGTCAGGAGTTCAAGACCAGCCTGGCCAACATGGTGAAACCCTGTATCTACAAAAATACAAAAGTAGCCAGCCATGATGGCAGGTGTCTGTAATCCCAACAACTCAGGAGGTGGAGGCGGGAGAATTGCTTGAACCTGGGAGGTGGAGGTTGCAGTGAATCGAGATCTCGCCATTGTGTTCCAGCCTGGGCAACACAGCAAGGCTCCATCTCTCAAGAAAAAACCAAAACAAAACACACACACACACACACACACACACACACACACACACACACAATAAGAATATGAAAAAATCTTTTCTTCCTAAGATTTTCTAGGGAACTGGCAAAGAAAGGGGTTAAAACAGTTTAAATGGTAAATTCAGAGTGGCCACATGAGATCAGCTTTCCACATTTGTGAAATATAATAATCTCTATTGAATGTTACTGAAAATGGAAACAGGGTAAAATATAACTGTAGAATACTGCTTTACAAAAACTTTCAGAAAATCATATTCTTTAGGTATTTTTCCCATTCACTTCATATAATCTGGATTCATTCATGCCATAGTGTTTATTTATATCTTACAGTAACAAGTCTACTTGTACACATTGATTTCACAACATCAGTAAATTTATATACTTGGAAATTTGTTTCTGGGTTAAAATTCTTCCTCTGCATCTCGTGACCGTTTCCGGGTATTCAAGGAATCTTCTGTCTGCAATGAACATGCAGAAGTAATAACAGTATCTCTAAATCCCTGAGGCTGCAAGATAAAAAATAAAAATATAAAAATATGCTTTAAGAACATTTAAAGACCTATCTTCAAAATATTTTTAAGTAATTGGTAAGAAAGCTACTTTGCTCTAGGGCCAGGTGCGGTGGCTCACGCCTGTAGCTCCAGAACTTGGGGAGGCCGAGGCAGGCAGATGACGAGGTCAGGAGTTTGAGACCACCCTAGCCAACATGGTGAAACCCCATTTCTACTAAAAATACAAAAATTAGCCGGGCATGTTGGCGCATGCCTGTAGTCCCAGCTACTCAGGAGGCTGAGATAGGAGAATTGCTTGAACTCGGGAGGCAGAGGTTGCAATGAGCCAAGATCATGCCACTGCACTCTAGCCTGGGTGACAGAGCGACACTTTGTCTCAAAAAAAGAAAAGAAAAGAAAGCTACTTAGTTCTTGAGATAGATATTTATCACCCACTGTGAAGAGGATAAACCTCATGGGTATTTGTCTAAGCCTGGGCTATACGAGAATATTTTATATATACTTATTTATATGCATGCATACACACACACACAGAAATAACATTTCATTATAAAAATGTTCTCAGCTGGGCGCGATGGCTCACGCCTGTAATCCCAGCACTTTGGGAGGCCGAGGCGGGTGGATCAGGAGGTCAAGAGATCAAGACCATCCTAGTCAACATGGTGAAACCCCGTCTCTACTAAAAATACAAAAAATTAGCCAGGCATGGTGGTGCGTGCCTGTAATACCAGGACTCAGGAGGCTGAGGCAGGAGAATTGCCTGAACCCAGGAGGCAGAGGTTGCGGTGAGCCAAGATCGCGCCATTGCACTCCAGCCTGGGTAACAAGAGCGAAACTCCATCTCAATAATAAATTAATAAATAAATAAAAATGTTCTCTAAAGGACAGTCCTAACAAACTTTAAAATGGCTTTGTTAGAAGAACTGAAAGGAAATAACCTAAGTCTTCGATACTTTACAGATTTATTTTCATCATTAAATACTCTGAAGTTTTCCAACTAGGATATTTCAAATGCACCTGGACAGTGCAAAGTCCAGGTGGATAATTCAGTTTCAGAATCTCTATTTCTGTTTTTGTCCTTATAAAAATGAGATAAAGCCGCAAGCAGTGGCTCATGCCTGTAATCCCAGCACTTTGGGAGGCTGAGTCGGGCGAATCACTTGAGGTCAGGAGTTTGAGACCAGCCTGGCCAACATGGCAAAACCCTGTCTCTACTAAAAATACAAAACTTAGCCAGGCGTGTTAGCACACACCTGTAATCCCAGCTACTAGGGAGGCTGAGGCAGAAGAATTGCTTGAACCAGTGGGCCAGAGTTTGCAGTAAGCCAAGATCGTGCCACTCCACGCGGAACCTGGTTGGAACCTGGGCAATACAGTGAGGCTCCATCTCAAAAAAAAAAAAAAAGAAAATGAGATGCCAAAAATATACATGGTTCTCAACATTATTGATAAATATACATATTTTATCCAAAAAATATGTGTTCTATGATTTAAATTCACAGAAAAATTAACACCTTAAAGTGGGCTATATTTGGTGGCTACAATAGCTCTATAATACATACAAGACCAAAATAAGTAATATTAGTAGTTTTTCTTTTCTGGAAATCTTCAACAACTTTCCCTTTAAAGATTTTTAATATCCTGACATTACATATGGCATGGAACATGCTACCCGAAAATAAGTATTTCCTCTGTTCTTAAGAATAAATTTCAGTCCATTTGTGACTACAATATTCTGTATATTACTATTTTGGGGACAATGTTCTAAGCATCAAAAGCTGTCCTCAAATATGCTTGCTGCCTACAGAAGTTAACAGAAGCAAGTTGTAAATTCTCTCTTTAGATAATTACTGCCCACCAATATAAAAATCCCACTCTCATCAAATAATACTGACTGTGATTTGAAACAGTACTGTGGATTCCTTCTGGCTGGGTGACTTGTACAATGTTGCCAACCTGCTCAAAGAAAAATAATACATACAAACACATGAACTTAATTAATTAAAAATTCAAATGACCAAACTCATAATTTAAATGTATAGGTTTATTATATTAATAAATCTATTATTTTTTTTCTGTAAGGACAAAAAATAGAGAGAAATATTAAAATACACCCTTAAATACCTGTATGTATTTAACAGAGTTGTTTACATGAGTGAAATTTTAAAGCAATCTAAAAGTTCAATGACTGATTTAAATAAACTATCTTATAAATGAGATATTAGTTATGCTAAAAACTAAAGGTGGAAGGCCAGGCATGGTGGCTCACACCTGTAATCCCAGCACTTTGGGAGGCCAAGGTGGGCAGATCATGAGGTCAGGGGTTTGAGACCAGGCTGGCCAATATGGTGAAACCCCGTCTCTACTAAAAATACAAAAATTAGCTGGGGGTGGTGGTGCGCACCTGTAGTCCAAGCTACTTGGGAGGCTGAGGCAGGAGAATTGCTTGAACTCAGGAGACAGAGGTTGGAGTGAGCCGAGATTGTGCCACTGCACTCCAGCCTGGGCAACAGAGCAAGATTCTGTCTCAGAAAAACAAAACTAAACAACAACAACAACAACAACAAAACTAAACTAAAGGTGGAAAAAAATATTCAATGAGATAGGAAAGTATTAATAATATACTAAATAAGTTATACTGAATAATCTTATAAGTATGTATACAGACATCTAAAAAACTGATAGAAGACTACAATCAAATAGTTAACAGTTGTTATCACAAGGTGAAGGCTGCTTGCTTGTATTTCCCAAACTGTCTCTAGTAAATCATGTATTTTTTTGTTATTGCTGAAGAACTGTGATAATTTCTTATACTACAAATGAGAAACACTTATTCATATTATACCAATAAAAATAAGATAGGAAGACATTGTTTTAAAATGATATGGCTCATGTCTGTAATCCTAGCTCTTTGGAGGCCAAGGCGTGAGGATCACTTGAGATGAGGAGTTTGAAGCCATCCTGAGCAACACAGTAAGACCCCATCTCTACAAAAATAATAATAATAACATAAAATGATTATGTCCCAAAAATAAGACATGATAGAACAGTATCTGGGATTTTATTATGTCTTATACAAAATAATATAAAACTGAAAGCTGAAGGTAGCTGAGAAATTTCTAAGCTCTTATTAACTATATTCAAGTACTGTAACTGCAACAAAATAAAAACCTTTAAAACTGCTTTTTGGCTCATGTCTGTAATCCCAGCACTTTGGGAGGCTAAGGCGGGAGGATCACCTGAGGTTGGGAGTTCGAGATCAACCTGACCAACTTGGATAAACCCCATTTCTACTGAAAATACAAAATTAGCTGGGTGTGGTGCCACATATTTGTAATCTCGCTTACTTAGGAGGCTGAGGCAGGAGAATTGCTTGAACCCAGGAGGCTGAGGTTGCAGCAAGCTGAGATCAGGCCACTGTACTCCAGCCTGAGCAACAAGAGTGAAACTCCATCTCAAACAAACAAACAACAACAACAACAACAAAACTGCTTTTAAGAATTACTTTAGGCTGGGCATAGTGGTTCAGCCTGTAATCCCAGAACTTTGGGAGGCTGAGGTAGGCAAATCACCTGAGGTCAGGAGTTCGAGACCAGACTGACTAACATGGAGAAACCCCATCTCTACTAAAAATACAAAATTAGCTGGGTGTGGTAGCATATGCCTGTAATCCCAGCTACTTGGGAGGTTGAGGCAAAAGAATAACTTCAACCTGGGAGGCAGGAGTTTCAGTGAGCTGAGATTACGCCACTGGACTACAGACCATGCAATAAGAGCAAAACTCTGTCTCAACAAACAAACAAACAAAAAATTTACTTTAAAACTGATACACTTATAAGCAAAACAAACAAACAAACAAAGAACAAAAAAAAAATAAATAAATAAAACTGATACACTGTAACTTATTCACAACAGCCAGAATGTAGAAGCAACCCAAGTATGCATCCACAGATGAATTAACAAAACGTGGTATGTATATACAATAGAATATTATTCAGACTTAAAAAGGAAAAAAATTCTGACACATGCTACAACATAATGAGCCTTGAAGACATTATACTAAGTGAAATAAGTCAGTCACACCAGAACAAATATTGTATGATTCCAATTATATGGGGTAGGTAGACGAGTCAAATTCAGAGACAGAAGGTAGAATGGTGATTGTCAGGGGCTAGGGGTAAAAAAGAATGAGAGTTAGCATTTAATGGGTACACAGTTTCAGTATGGGAAGATGAAAAAAGTTCTGAAAATGGATGATGATGGTTGCATAATATTAATGTACTTAATGCCAATGAACTATACGAAAAAATTGTTGACGTGGTACATTTTTTTTGACACAGCATCTTACATTGTTGCCCAGGCTGTAGTGCAGTGGCGCAGTCTCGGCTCACTGCAATCTCTGCCTCGTGAGTTCAAGCAAGTCTCCTGCCTCAACCTCCCAAGTAGCTGGGACTACAGGTGTGCGTCACCATACCCAGCCAATTTTTTTGTACTTTTAGTAGAGACAGGGTTTCACCATGTTGGCCAGGATGGTCTCGATCTCCTGACCTTGTGATCCGCCCGTCTCAGCCTCCCAAAGTGCTTGGATTATAGGCATGAGCCACCGCACCTGGCTAAAGTGGTAAATTTTATGTTATATATATATATAAAACCACAATTTAATAAAACGGATATAATATGCTCCCCTTAAATGGAAAAAAAAAACCTGATATAATACACAAAATACATATTCTAAAGTAAAGGAAAATAAGATTCTCAGAGTTATAAGGGTTATTTATTTACACAAAACATAATGATTTGCTTTCAAAGACAATTCAAAAAGGACATTTTGGCTATGATTTGTTACTCTCTTAATTTTGAAATAGCCCCTCTTCTCAGACACAATTCAAAAGAAAAACAGAGACCAAAAACAGCAGAATCCAAAATGTCCTATATTCCATAATCGTAACTTTACACATAAACAAAATAACTGCTAAGTAATATGTAATATAAAAATAGCTGTGTGCAGCCGGGCGCGGTGGCTCACGCCTATAATCCCAGCACTTTGGGAGGCTGAGGCGGGTGGATCATGAGGTCAAGAGATTGAGAGCATCCTGGTCAACAAGGTGAAACCCCGTCTCTACTAAAAATACAAGAATTAGCTGGGCATGGTGGTGTGTGCCTGTAGTCCCAGCTACTTGGGAGGCTGAGGCAGGAGAATTGCTTGAACCCAGGAGGCGGAGGTTGCGGTGAGCCGAGTCATGTCATTGCACTCCAGTCTGGGTAACAAGAGCAAAACTCCATCTCAAAAAAAAAAAAAAAGCTGTGTGGAGCCAGGTGTGGTGGCTCATGCCTGTAATCTCAGCACTTTGGGAGGCCGAGGTGGGCAGATCACGAGATCGGGCGTTTGAGACCAGCCTGGCCAACATGGTGAAACCCTGTCTCTACTAAAGAAACAAAAACAAAAATTACCCAAGTGTAGTGGTGTGCAACTGTAATCCCAGCTACTCGGGAGGCTAATGCAGAAGAATCGCTTGAACCAGGGAGTCGGAGGTTGCAGTGAGCCAAGATTGTGTCACTGCACTCTAGCCTCAGCAACAGGGCAAGCCTTAGTCTTAGAAAAAATAAAGAATGGCTGTGTTGAGTGGGATTATAAACGTTTAGGGTTGATAAACTATCTTTAATGCAAAAATTCACAAAAAAAGAGAAGCAAGGTGTATTTTAACCTGCCTTTATTAGGAAATCACTTTTTGAACAACAAAAATCAGCTAGCCTGCCAAAAAATTAGTATCCAAATCATCTCATTTCAACAATATGTCCAAAAAAGATACCCAGTACATCTATCCCAAGGAAATTATTAAAAAGTAATAAGCTTTTAAGAAGCATTTACATGCTTATTAAGAATCCTTAAGTCAGCTGGGCACAGTGGCTCATGTCTGTAATTCTAGCACACTGGGAGGCTGAGGTGCGTGGATCACTTGAGGTCAGGCATTCGAGACCAGCCTGGCCAAAATAGTGAGACTCCATCTGTATAAAAATACAAAAATTAGCCAGGTGTGGTGGCACATGCCTGTAATCCAGCTACTTGGGAGGCTGAGGCAGGAGAATTGCTTGAACCAGGGAGGTGGAGGTTGCAAGGAGCTGATATTGTGCCACTGCAATCCAGCCTGGGTGACAAAGTGAGGCTCCATCTCAAAAAAACAAACAAAAAGAATCCTAAAGTCAAAGGGCCATTAATTATTCAGGCTGAAAATCAACCTCAAATTTCTAGGTAAAAATACCATTTTTATACATCATGTCTTTTTAGAAATCTTTTTTTTTTTCTGGAGACAGAGTTTCATTCTTCTTGCCCAGGCTGGAGTGCAATGATGCGATCTCAGCTCACCCTCAAAACCTCCGCCTCTTGGGTTCAAGCAATTCTCCTGCCTCTGCCTCCCGAGTAGCTGGGATTACAGGCACTTGCCACCATGCCCAGTTAATTTTGTATTTTTATTACAGATGGGGTTTTTCCATGTTGGTCGGGCTGGTCTCGAGCTCCCAACCTCAGGTGATTTGCCCGCTTCAGACTCCCAAGTGCTGGGATTACAGCTGTGAGCCACTGCGCCCGGCTAGAGATCTTTTTAAATGAAAAACTAAACCAAAGAATCCCTTGGCTCATGGCCCCAGCTGAGATGTAGCTTAACATATGGCTGAACTACATAGTTTGGGTCAGGAAGAAACAAGACAGAAGCACAATTTGTGCTCTAAAACTGAGCACACATATGAAACACTGTGTGGGGGTGTTGATTTATTACTCTACCACCAGATCTTCTTGGCAAAGAGTAGTGTAATTCTGAATAATCTTAGCCTCATATAATCATGAATATGCAAACTGGAGGAAAACCCACATATTATAAAGACACAGATAAAGGTATTTATTTTAATAACTGTTGGAATATTATTCCATCATTAGTCTAAGGGTAAAAATCAGGTGTTACTGGTAAAGGATGGGGTCTGGGGCATCAGATAGTACACTTAAGTTTAATTCCCAATATGAATTTGGCAATTTAAGATCTTTATTTCTGGACGGGTGCCGTGGCTCATGCCTACAATCCCACCACTTTGGGAGGCCAAGGTAGCTGGACTGTCTGAGCTTATGAGGTCAAGACCAGCCTGGGCAACATCTTGAAACCCTGTTTCTACAAAAAATACAAAAATTAGCTGGGTGTGGTGGTACATGCCTGTGGTCCCAGCTACTTCGGAGGCTGAGGTGGGACGACTGCTTGAGCCCAGGAGGTTGAGGCTGCAGTAACCTGAGATCATACTACTGCACCACTGCACTCCAGCCTGGACAACAAAGCAAGACCCTGTGTCAAAAAAAAAAAAAAAATTTAGTGTTTTATCCAAATGAAAAATGTTCTTTTTTTTTTTTGAGACGGGGTTTCACTCTTGTTACCCAGGCTGGAGTGCAATGGCGCGATCTTGGCTCACCGCAACCTCTGCCTCCTGGGTTCAGGCAATTCTCCTGCCTCAGCCTCCTGAGTAGCTGGGATTACAGGCACGCGCTACCATGCCCACCTAATTTTTTGTATTTTTAGTAGAGACGGGGTTTCACCATGTTGACCAGGATGGTCTAAAATGTTCATTTTTATAACGATTTTTCCCTGATATGAATTTCCATTTTCATCCTTTTAAAATAAACTAAAAATTTAAAAGCATAAAGCATATAAAATTTCACACAACTTTTTTTTTTTTTGAGATGGAGTCTCGCTCTGCTGCCCAAGCTCACTGCAACTTCTGCCTCCTAGGTTCAAGCAATTCTCCTGCCTCAGCTATATTAAAGTAACCCACCACCATGCCTTGCTAATATTTTTGTATTTTTAGTAGAGACAGGGTTTTGCCATGTTGGCCAGGCTGTTCTCGAACTCCTGACCTCAGGTGCCTTGGCCTCCCAAAGTGCTGGGATTATAGGTGTGAACCACTGTGCCCAGCCTGGAAATACCATTTTTAAAGTAGACACAAACTGCACGATCAGTTGCAAAAGATATATACAGAAGTGTAATCAGTATATATCTTTTTTTACGAGCTTCAGGTCAGTAAAACCTAACTTGGTCAGGCAGGATTTTTTTGTTTGTAGAACAACAAAGAAATGCAGATTAAAAAACAGACAATTTCACTGGCTAGGCCCAATATGTATTTAAGTGACCCTTTAGTCCATCTTTGCTTGCATGTGATCTTAATTTCTCCCTTTATTAGAGCATTTCCAAACCAAGATCTATGTTATACCAATTAATCACAAAGCAGAGAGGCTAGCATAAATCTGACATTTTCTGTAAGTGTAGGAAAGACTTCACAGCTTTCAATGGCCTATTTTCAAGAAAATAAAAGCTGCTTTGTTCACTTGCTCAGCTGCTTTAAAAACAAATACAAAGACTTCATGCTGCCATACTTTTAAAGAACAATACTTGTGAAAGTGGATAATAAAAGCCGGACAGCAAAATACAAAATAAAAAAAATAACAGACACAATTTCATACAAGAAATACACTAAGCAACTAAGAAAAACAATCCTATCTTCCAAATAAATTAATTTTAAAGCTAACTTCAACAATTTTCCTTTTGTCCTGATTTTATTCTTTCTTTTCAATCTCTTCCAGGAACATAGAGTACTAACCTCCTTCTACATGGCTAATAAATGATTTCAAAGAGCTTTAGAAAATGGCATTCCTTAGCCACCTACTCATTTCAGGTGCATGCACCCCGTCATTTAAGTATTCCAGAGAATTTCCTGTGTAGCTAAATGTGCAGTAATAATAACACATTTCCATGTTTCCTCTAGGTGATATCAGACAAGGCAACAATATAGATCATTGTATATCTAAACCACAGGACTAGCTCTAAAAAACTTCTAAGTGTTCATTCAGTGTAATTAACCCAATATTCAGAATTATTAACTTGTTTCTATACTGACCTTTGCTTTCGGTCCCAATGAAAGATTAGCCGTATTGTAGCAGCATGTCCCCAACTTTCCCCTGAGAGTAAAGAACATAATAACTGTATATTGCCTTACTGACTTGGTTATAAATTTCTCAGAATGCCTCTGATCAAATATAATCTTACTTTACTTAATTTAACATAACAAAAGTATACTTGCTTTAAAAAAAAACCTGGGAAATGAGTAACATCCTGAGATTATAAGATTTTTACCTATCTAGGGGAATATTGCAAATCATTATCCTCTATTTGCTTTGAGAAAACTTAATAGTCTGAGTCCATATATTTGCCAATTTTCCATATCATCAAACCTAACATATTTCTGACCTCCAGAAGAAAAGTAAAAACTCTGGTAGAATATTCTTTAAGATTTTAGTGGACATACATCTTGAAGCATTGCATTCTAACAAAACCACGATATTTACTGTAGTGTGATTTAAGTGGATTCACCCCTCCTTCTGCCTAAAGCTGTGAATTATCTGGGGGCAAGAATCTTTGACACACAGTAGTTGCTAGACAGTAGATACTCAATTTTTTGAGACAGTCTCGCTCTGTCACCAAGGCTGGAGTGCAGTGGCAGGATTCCAGCTTCTCACAGCCTGCATCTTCCAGGTTCAAGCAATTCTCATGCCTCAGCCTCCCAAGTTGGTGGGATGTGTGCCACCATGTATGGCTAATTTTTTGTATTTTTAGTCGAGATGGGGTTTTCACCATATTGGCCAGGCTAGTCTTGAACTCCTGGCCTCAAGTGATCCAGCTCAGCCTCCCAAGGTGCTAGGATTACAGGTGTGAGACAATGTGTCTGGTCACTCAATAAATGTTAAGTAACTAAAAGAAACAGTCAGTATCTAAGGGTACTGTACTTAGTGCTAAGATTAACCAGTGAACAAGACAAATACACTCTGCTTTCATGGAGCTTATAGTATTCAATGAGAATCAAATGAAAGAGATAGGAAAAACTGTGATTAACTAAAATCTTTATCTCATTGATTACCCACCTAAAGCAGGAATGAGCAAGGCCTGATTTTTATCAATCTTTGTTGTCATCTGATTGGTTAAAATTACCTATAAAAACAAAATGTAAGAAAGTTAGGTGAGTCTCTTTAAAAATTATCAAGTAAAGTCTTGTGATTTTAGTAATCTGAAAACAATCTACCTACTAAAGATGGCCATTTATGTAATAAAAATTTTTCTGATTAAAAAACTTAAAAGATCTACCCATAAAATATGTAGTTATCTGAAAACATGATTCTACTGATCATAAAATATTTTATTTTCATACTTTAGAGATGGGGTCTTGCTAGGTTGCCCAGGTTGGCCTTGAAGTCCTAAAATCACACAATCCTCCCACCTCAGCCTCCTGAATAGCTGGGACTAGAGGAGTTTGCCACATCTAGCTCACAAAACTCTTTTTTTTTAAGCGACAGGGTCTTGCTATGTTGCCCAGGATTTTCTTGAACTCCTGGGCTCAAGCGATCCTCCTGCCTCAGCCTCCCAAAGTGCTGGGATTATAGGCATGAACCACTGTGCCTGACCTACAACAAACTTTTTAAAACATTGGCTGGGCATGGTGGTGCACAGCTGTAGTCCCACCTACTCAGGAGGCTAAGGTGGGAGAATTGCTTGAGCCCAGAAGGTTGAGGCAGGAGTAAGCCATGATCATGTCACTGTACTCCAGCCTGGTGACCAAGCAAGACCTCATCTCAAAAAAGAAAAAAGAAAGATTGAATTTTGCTCTGTTGCTTAGGCTGGAGTGCAGTGGCGCAATTTCGGCTCACTTCAACCTCCACCTCCCAGGTTCAAGCGATTCCTACCTCAGCCTCCCAAGTAGCTAGGATTACAGGTGCCTGCCACGATGGCTGGCTAATTTTTGTATTTTTAGTAAAGACGGGGGTTCACCACGTTGGCCAGGCTGGTCTTGAACTCCTGACCTCAAGTGATCCACCTGCCTCAGCCTCCCAAAATGCTAGGATTACAGGCATGAGTCACTACAACTGGCCTGAGTCCACGTTCTTTATCACTATTACCTCCCCAGAATATTTTTATTCAAAGGAATATGAAATCCTTAATAAATATCTCAATGTTTACATTTTTAGGAAGGAGGCAAATATAGTATTAGTTTATAATCTTATAGGAAAAAAAGAAACTGAGGCAACAAATTATGAGAAGAGACTTAAAATCATAAAGAAAGTACAATATAAGTAGATGAACTAGGAAAAAAAAAATCCTAGTAGCCAGGTCAAATGACTCCAAATTATGATTATGCTAAGCAGCTAGTAACAGCCACAGGTGTTGCTTTGGAACTCACAGATGGCCCTCAGTTTCATATTGCTAATTCTCTTGGAATAAATACTGACCTACAAAAAAGGTTCCAGGTTTTGAAAGATAGTAATTTTAAATAAAACAGGGAAAACAAAAGTGTTTAAGGCTGACTTAACATAGAAGTCAGATCTGTTCTTTTTCTACCCCAAAATCTCCAGAAATGGCTACTTTATATATTCTTCTAATACAGATCTTCCCTCCAGAAAAAAGAAAGTTAATACTGCAACCTAAAACTGATAACAAAATTCCATGAAAAACAGTTAAGAAAAAGTTGTCTACTCTGAAAATGAATTTTTTACGTAAGAAAACTGAGAAACAGGCTGGGTGCAGTGGCTCACACCTGTAATCCCAGCGCTTTGCAGGGATGAGGCAGGCACATCACCTAAGGTCAGGAGTTCAAGAACAGCCTGGCCAACATGGCGAAACCCCATCCTAAAAATACAAAAAGTTAGCCAGGCATTTGGGCAGGCACCTGTAACCTCAGCTACTCTGGAGGCTGAGGCAGGAGAATCACTTAAATCCAGAAGGTGGAGGTTGCAGTGAGCCAAGATTGCACCATTTTACTCCACCCTGGGCAACAAGAGCAAGACTCCATCTCAAAAAAAAAAAAACCTGAGGGAAAAAAGGTTATTTGGCTGTTACCATTGCACTGGTAACACCCTAACATTTCTTTTTTTTTTTTTTTGAGACGGAGTCTTGCTCTGTCACCAGGCTGGAGTGCAGTGGCACAATCTCGGCTCACTGCAACCTCCACCTCCTGGGTTCAAGCAATTCTTCCGCCTCAGCCTCACGAGTAGCTGGGACTACAGGCATGTGCCACCACACCCGACTAGTTTTTTTGTATTTTTAGTAGAGACGAAGTTTCACAGTGTTGGCCAGGATGGTCTTGATCTCTTGAGCTTGTGATCCGCCCACCTCGGCTCCCAAAGTGTTGAGATTACAGGCATGAGCCACCGCGCCCGGCCAAAATTTCTATTTAGCCATAAAGGAAAAATCTGTGATTCACCTAGATCTCAATTAGATACCAAGGTGATGACATAATTTTCTTCTAGTTCCTCTCCCCTTACATGCCATAGGGCATTCTCCCTTTGTTACCTCACATCTAAGGACAGGCACCTTAGAATAAGCTAAGCAGGAACTTAAATTGGTAGCTTTTTTTAAAGAATATTTCTTAGAGATGGGGTCTCATTCTGTCACCCAGGCTGGGGTGCAGGGGCACAATCATAGCTCACTGCCTTGAAGTCCTGGGCTCAAGCAATTGTCCTGCCTCAGCCTCCCTAGTAGCTGGAACTATAGGTATGCACCAGCATGCCTAGCTAATTTTTAAATTATTTGTAGAGACAGGGTTTCGCAGTGTTGTCTAGACTAACCTCGAACTCCTGGCCTCAAATGATCCTCCCACCTCGGCCTCCCAAAGTGCTGGAATTATAGGCATGAGCCACAGTGCCTGGCCCATGTGTAGCTTTTAAAAGTTAAATTAAAACTATAAATTCAGTAGGATTCGCTGTATTTCAAGTGAACAGCCATGCAGCTACTGTACTAGACTGTACATTTTCATCTTTCCATCAGTTCTACTTAACAGTGCTGGTTTAGAGAGTATTTAGTTTACCCATTACGTATCTTCAGGAAAATATAAATCGAACTACTGATTTACCAGGTATTCGACATGTCAAACTTAGAATTTCCATTACTGGCAAATATTTATGTAGTAATTATATTATTTTTGCAAAATGATTGGCCTCCATGATACAAGTCAAAATTATTATGTGAATATGCCAAGCTTCTAAAGAATAAGTGTTTTGTTTTTTTTTTTTTGATGGAGTCTCACTCTGCTGCCCAAGCTGGAGTACAGTGGCATGACCTCGGCTCACTGCAACCTCCACCTCCCAGTTCAAGTGATTCTCCTGCCTCAGCCTCCCAAGTAGCTAGGATTACAGGTGCCTGCCACCACATCCATCTAATTTTTTTTGTATTTTTAGTAGAAACGGGGTTTCACTATGTTGGCCAGGCTGGTTGCAAACTCCTGACCTCAGGTAATCCACCCACCTCAGCCTCCCAAAGTGCAAGGATTACAGGCATGAGCCACTGTGCCCAGCAGAAAAGAGGATTTTTTTTTAAAAAAACCTGGAACTCTGTTTCCCAGAACCCAGAATTACTTTCTCCGTAGGGTACAAGGTTATAGTTGACCACAAAAAAAATTTGCATGAGATTTGAAAAGTGAAAGTGAAGGAGCAGACATTTTAAATATTCTGAAGGTCATTGTGAGGTAGGGGTTTCTTTTTTGGGGTGATGGAAATATTCTAAAATTAGACAGTTTTGATGGCTGCAAAAACTCTGTGAATACACTAAAAATCACTGAATTGTACACTTTAAAAGGATAAATTTTAAGGTATATGGATTATATGTCATTAAAGCTGTTTAAAAAATTATCCTAATAATCAAAGAAACTTTTTTTTTTGAGACGGAGTTTTGCTCTTGTTACCCAGGCTGGAGTGCAATGGCGTGATCTCGGCTCACCTCTGCCTCCTGGGTTCAGGCAATTCTCCTGCCTCAGCCTCCTGAGTAGCTGGGATTACAGGCATGCACCACCATGCCCAGCTAATTTTTTGTATTTTTAGTAGAGACGGGGTTTCACCATATTGAGCAGGATGGTCTTGATCTCTTGACCTCGTGATCCACCCGCCTCGGCCTCCCAAAGTGCTGGGATTACAGGCTTGAGCCACCGTGCCCAGCCTAAGAAACTTTTTTTTTTTTTTGAGATGGAGTCTTGCTCTGTAGCCCAAGCTGGAGTGCAACCTCCAACTCCTGGGTTCAAGCAATTCTCCTGCCTCAGTCTCCCAAACAGCTGGGACTGCAACTGCAAACCACCACAGCCAGCTGATTTTTTCATATTTTTAGTATGAAAATGTGGCCATATTGGCCAGGCTTGTCTCAAACTCTTGACCTCAGGTGATCCACCCTCCTCAGCTTCCCAAAGTGCTGGGATTACAGGCATGAGCCAGTGTGCCAGGCCAAGAAACATATTTTTTAAAGGACTTTCCCCATATCAATTTGGCAAAGATTTAAAAGACTGGTACCCAAAGTTGGTAAAGATATGGGAAAAAAAGTGTTCCTATTCATTGCTGTAGAGACATACTTTAGAACACAGTTTCTGAGGGTAATTTTATAATATATAACAAATGTTCAAAAATTGATTTCTTTGGCCTAATAGTTTCACTTTAAGAAATTTATTCTAGGCTAGGTGTGGTGGCTCATGTCTATAATCCCAGCACTTTGGGAGGCCGAGAAGGGTGGATCACTTGAGGCCAGGAGTTTGAGACCAGTCTGGCCAACATGGCGAAACCCCATCTCTACTAAAAATACAAAAATTAGCCAGGTGTGGTTGTGCACACCTGTAATCCCAGCTACTTGGGAGACTCAGGTACGAGAAGTTCTTGAACCTTAGAGGTGGAGGCTGTGGTGAGCCAAGATTGTGCCACTGCACTCCAGCCTGGGTGACAGAACAAGACTCTGTCTCAAAAAAAAAAAAAAAGAAAGAAAAAAAAGAAAATCAATAGAGAGGTGGTTAAAAAATACATTCCAGGCCAGGCACAGTGGCTCATGCCTATGGAAGGCTGAGACAGGTGGATTCCTTAAGCCCAGAAGTTAGAGACCAGCCTGGGCAACATAGTGAGACCTCATCTCCACAAAAAATTTAGGTATGTATGAGACAGAGTCTTGCTCTGTCGCCCAAGCTGGAGTGC